AGGCGCTACCACGCCCGGCTGATTTTTTGATTTATTGTTTTTTTTTGTTTTTTTTTTTTTGAGTTGAAGTCTCATTCTGTCGCCCAGACTGGAGTGCAGTGCCTGCTCCTGACCTGCTGGGCTCTGGCGAGCCTTCCGCCTCAGCCTTCCGAGTAGCTGGAACTATAGGCACGCACTACCACACCCGACTAACTTTTTTTTTTTTTTTTTATTGTAGAGATGAGGCCTCACCAAGTTGCCCGGGTGGGTCTAGAACCCGCGGGCTCAAGCAATCCACTCACTTCAGCCACCCAAGGTGTGGGATTACAGGCTGAGCCACCGAGCCCGGCTAGTTTTTTTTTTTTTTAATTTAGTGCTCAGGCAATCCTCTTGCCTCCACCTCCCAAAGTGCCGGGATGACAGGCTTGAGCCACCATGCCCAGCCAGAACCATATTCTTTGTGTCTATACTTGCAGCTCCCTCACTCAGATGCTCCTCGGAAGGTTTCTGTGGGCCTGACAGCTTCCCCTCCCATTTCTGCAGCTGATACAATCTTTAAACAGCATTCATTTGCACACTAGCCAGGCTCAGACTCAAGCAATCACTGAAGCAAAGTTTCAACACATTGCAAATGGCTGAAAGTAAGACATTGGAGAGCAATAAAACATTCACTGTGGCTGAGCACAGGGGCTCACGCCTGGGATCTCAGCACTTTGGGAGGCTGAGGCAGGAGGATCGCTTGAGGCCAGGAGTTCGCGACCAGCCTGGGCCACACAGCGAGACCTTGTCTCTACAAAAAATTAAGAAATTAGCTGGGCATGGTGGTGCTCATAGTCCCAGCTACTCTGAAGGCTGAGATGGGAGGATTGCTTGAGCCCAGGAGGCGGAGGCTGCAATGAACTATGATCACACCACTGCACTCCAGCCTGGGAGACAGAGGGAGACCCTGTCTTAAAAAATACACACACACACACACATTTGTGTGTTTGCTGGGAAACATTGCCACTAGAGGGAAACTGAGTCTCTGAGACGTTGCTTCCGTGCGAGCGCTGCTTCTGGACACCCATGAGACAGGGAGGTACGAGGCGCATGGGGCCCATCTCACAGATGGGGAAACCGAGTTGCTGAGTCTCAGAGCCAGGTGGCCACCAAGAATGTCCCCGGCGAGGCCCCGACCAGTGTGGTGGACGTGGTCTTGGCCTCCCGTCTCGAGTGTGGCCACTGGCACCTCCATGGCCTCAGGTGTGTCCATCTGTTCCTGGTGGAGTCTGTTGTGAGGATTCCTGGGCAGGAGGCGACCCTACCCAGCCTTGGCCCCAAAACCACTGAGTGCCCCTGAGAGGGGGGTGCGTTTCCCGGTCACCCAGCTGCACTACCTGGTCCCGGACAGCACTGAGCTCTGAGAGACGGGGACAGACATGGGCATTCCCATCCCGCAGGCCAAGGCTTGGCTGGAGGCTGGGGCGGGTTGGATATCAGTGCAGGGAGGGCTTCCTGGAGGAGGGTGCGTGGAAGCCCGAGCTTGACACAGGCACAGGACGCCGGGAGGGGAAGGGAATTCCAGACGGAGGAAACAGCTCCGTTGAGGGCTGGAGGGGCGGGCAGGCAGGGCCAGGTCGCGTGGGAAAGCCCGTGGCCAGCTCAGGCAGGACGGGGCAGGCACCCGGGTGAGGCGAGCTGTGTCCAGACCCCGGCTGGGAAGCGGGCACCCCAGCCCCAGCCCTCCGTGTGGGGAGAGGAAGCACAGCTGAGCGGGGTGGGTTTTGGGGCCGGAGGTGGCAGTGGGCGTGGGGGCGCTGCTGGGCCTTGGCCCTGGGGAGCCCGGAGCCCGGAGCCCGGGAAGCACTGGGTGGGCTTCGGGGCCCTCCCCGCAGAGGGCGATGGAGTCCTCCTCAGCCACGTCGTGCCCGCTGCCTACCCACGTCCTGCCTCCTCCCCCTCAAGGACGAGCCCCGAAAGCCACGGGCTGGACGCACGAGCACCCAAGGCCCGGAGGGGGAGCCCCGTCTTATTCCTGAGTCCTCCCTGGGGAGCCAGGCACTGAGCGTGGGGTGATATCTACGCGGGGAATGGCGACGTTTGCTGAGTGACTAAGTGAATGTTGCACACGGTCCAGGCTGTGCATAAGGAGCCCAGCGTGGGGGCCTGGCCTGGCCAGAGGGTGGGGGGTGTTCACACCAGGAGGGGATGTGACAGTGGTCCCGAGGGACGAGGCGGTGTTTGCTGGACAGAGCAGGCAAGGAGGCGGGCGCAGCGCGAGCTGAGCCCAGGGGAGGCGCCCGGGGGTGCTGGAGGAGCCCCG